ACTCACTCAACAAGTCGCCTTGCAGAGACAGCACATTTACACACACACACAAACACTAGAACATCTTCTTCAGTCACATTCCCTGCACTTTTAGTAGTGCAGTAGTGTACTTCTCTTCTTCCTCCTCATCAACTCCAGGTGTGTCCTTGACTCGAAGCCGAGTCACTTTATCGATTCCCACTAATGACTACTACTACCTGATTGAATGTTTGACTATGTTACCTAATGAACTTACCATTAACTTCAATCAGAAACAGTAATAACCAACACGTACTACCACCACCACTTCTATTACCTACTGACAGTGCTAACACACAGAATAACACTGATCTCTGGCCCTCACACTAATGACCTACTGCGCTCGCTGGCGCATTAATCATTCATTAATTGAATTAATTATTTACTGCCGCTAAATTGCTACCGCTCTTTCGCCGTTGCTGCTGCTGATGCCAATTACTACGGGTCACTAATGAAACGCTGATTCTTAATGATTTTTTTCTTTCTCTCTTTCTTTCTAATTTTNCGCATTAATCATTCATTAATTGAATTAATTATTTACTGCCGCTAAATTGCTACCGCTCTTTCGCCGTTGCTGCTGCTGATGCCAATTACTACGGGTCACTAATGAAACGCTGATTCTTAATGATTTTTTTCTTTCTCTCTTTCTTTCTAATTTTGGCAGCATGGACTCCGTTCTTCGCTCTCCTCACCCTCGCCTCACCCCAATCACCTCCACCACCACCAGCACAGTCAGCACAGTCAGCACACTAGCCACCAGCACAGCGTTGACCTGTCGAACGACAACGACACCAACAACACCACCAATGAGGCGATTCGCTTCGTCTCGGTGGCGAACTTCGAGGACCAGCAGGCGATTCGTACGGCGGAGTTTCACCCCAGCGGTCGCTACTTTGCCATTGGCTCCAACTCCAAGCAGCTGCGCGTCTTTCAGTACTCTAGTCAGGACAGCAACAACAACACGGCGGACAGGTGCGACTGACGACGAACGACTGACGAAAGTCGCATTGGAATCGGCTTCTAATCGGCTTTCAACTAATGCTTATTATTATTACTTTTCCTTCTTTCAGCCTCAGCGACATTTCACCACCCGAGTTAATCTTCAAACGACCAAAGTACCACAAAGGCTCCATTTACTGGTAAGCAATCTCTGGCCAATTTCACGCTAAAGGCCAGTCATTTCGCACTGGCACCGTTTTCTAATCGCATTTTCCCCAACACAACACAACACAAACACAAACAAACACAAACAATCTACTGCCACAGTCTGGCCTGGAACAAGATCGGCAACCTGCTGGCCACCGGCTCCAACGACAAGACCATCAAGTTGGCCACCTTCAACCCTGAATCTCCCAGCTTCCTCAGCAATGAGGCGGAGCTGCCGGTGCACGACGGCACCGTCCGTGACCTCTGCTTCATGGACGACCTCACCAACGGCAGCAGTCTGCTGCTGTCCGGCGGCGCCGGCGACTGCAAGATCAACATCACCGACTGCGAGACGGCGACCACCTTCCTCAGCCTGTCCGGCCACTCGGGTCCCGTCCTCTCGCTGTACACCTGGGGCGGGGCGATGTTCGTCTCCGGCTCGCAGGACCGCACCATTCGCTTCTGGGACCTGCGCAGCAACAGCTGCATCAACTTTGTCACCTGCCCGACCATATCGCGCACCAAGCCAGGTACACGTCATCCAGAGACCTTGTTGACCTTGCAGCTTCTAAATGGTTTACCTTTTGTTTGCTTTTTTTTGCNCAGGTACACGTCATCTACGACCTTGTTGACCTTGCAGCTTCTAAATGGTTTGATTTTGTTTGATCTTTTTTGTAGGCGGCGCAGTGGCCGCCGTGTCCGTCGACCCCACCGGGAAGCTGCTCGTCTCCGGCCACGAGGACTCCACCTGTATGCTGTACGACGTGCGCGGTGGCCGCGTCATTCAGACCTTCCACCCGCACAGCGCCGACATTCGGACGCTGCGCTTCTCCAGCAAGGCCTACTACCTCCTCTCCGGCGGCTACGACAACAAGATCGTCCTCACCGACATGCAAGGGGACCTGACGCAGCCGCTGAAGAGCGTCGTCGTGGCGGAGCACGAGGACAAGGTCATCCAGTGCCGCTGGCACCCCACGGAGTTCGTCTTTCTCAGCACCTCCGCCGATAAGACCGCCAAGCTGTGGGCGTTGCCCGACTGAAAGGACACACATTTGCTGAACTGAACACTTCACACCCAAATCCTCTAAGCCTCTATCTTCCATTGTTTCCCTTCCTATCTTCTCCCGGTAACCCCCTCCTCCTTTGCCTTTTCGTTTTTCATCCTCGTTTTTCATCGCCTCTAACTGACACACACAGACACTTGTTCCTTCTCCTTTTCCAATCCTCTTTCCTCACGTTCGCTATTTTATCTCTTTTTCTCTCTGCAAGGCGGCCATTTTTATTAATTAATGAGTTCAATAAATTAAGGTCTTCTTTCTTTCTTTCTTTCTTTATCACCCTTTGTGTGTGTCTGGCCAAAACGGGTGGCCGCGTCTGTGTGATGAAGAGGCAATGATGGCGGCGGCGGCAGCGTTTGAGGCACCGTTTTGTGTTTTATTTATAGAGCAA